CATGACACAATTCATTAGGTATTTTCCATGCCTTTTGTCCTTGATTATGGTACTGATGGACTGGGTTGCTTTTTTCTCCCGGTTATTCTCAATGGTATCACGCAGTGGGGAAAAACTGTCTGTCTTGACCCACTCGTAACTGCAGCTTAATGTTAAGTCACAGAATTCTATTTGATAAAGACTTAATTTCCTTAGGAATACTCTTGAGCGTTTTTCCATTATACCCACAGGACTAACCACAAAATAGTCTGTTTGCCTTTTAAATGGATTACTCTAACTTAATGGAATTTAAAATGTTCTTTGTGCTCAGAAACAGCGCAGCTGCTTTTGATTGTATCTGATGGAAGAGGCCTTTTCTTGGAAGGCAAGGAACGAGTGACAGCAGCAGTTCAAGCCGCTCAGAATGCCAATATCTTTGTTATTTTCGTAGTGTTGGACAATCCTAATTCCCGGGTAAGTAAGTGAACAAGGGAGAAGACTTCAAGGGCAGTGAATGAGAAACATACAAATCTTTTTTTTTTGTCTTTTTTATTTCTTTACAGCTATCTTATCTTTTGCAGAGGTCAAAGATATTTAGCCCAGTTTCAGTTTGTCACAACGTCTGTCAGATTTTCTATGATTTCTCCCCACTGTGATGCTTATCCTCTTTTGTATTAAAAAAAAAAAAATCAGCTTCTGTGCCACAAAGTCTAAGTAAGAGCTCCTGTCTTCAAATGTAATGGTTGTAGATTTTGGCCGCCAGAGAAGTAGCTGGCAGGCTGACAAATTAAAGTTTGAGAAATGCTTTGTTCACCTCAATTTTGATTCAAATTTATCATTTCTGACAGCAATCTCCATTTGATATGGCAGCTGGAGCCAATATGAGATTAAACATTAGACAGAAAGGAGTATATGAGAGTTATTTAGTGCCTGAATTGGGAAAGCTGGGTACTGTATTTGGTAGCTGTGAAAGAAAACTGTTAGATTTCCTTGGCTGGGAAGTTGACTTATCCGGGAGCTTTTCAGGGAGACTCTGTGGTGCAATAAATGAGCAAACTTAAGCCTTACTTTGAATTAGGTGAAGACTCTTAATTTTGTAGTTCATGTTTTCTTCCTGTATCTTTATTTTTCCATACAAAACTTATCTGCTATATTTATTGTTGGAAAATTAACAATTCTCTTGCTGACAAACTATTATAAGGTTCTGATGAAACCTAGCTATAATGTCAAGTGAAAATTCTGGGCACAGAAATGTGTTTTTTATAAGCTTTATTAATTTTCTGAGCTGCTACACTGAGCAACTAAGAAGTTACTTCACAAGAAGCACAGTTTAATCTAATTTTTGTCTTTGTAGTATTTGTTGAAATACTATAAAATAATTTGCTAAAGAATTTTGCTGCATTAGGTCACTGCACAAATGCAGGTTGAACTCTTAGCCCTAAAAAGCTTACAGATGACAGTGTGACGGAAAGGCATCACATGTATAAATAAAACTAAAGTGATAACGGTAAACTCAAATCATAAAATACTAAGGAAAGACAGGATTTATTTATAGAACTTGGTATTGCAGAAGCTTAAGCTTAGTCTCTTCTAGTCTGTAATTCATTGATTAGAGCACTTTTATCTAAAAGGGCAAAAGCATTTAACTGCTTTGTGTTCAGGTTTTTATTTGATTTGCCATTGAACACTTAACGGCTTTTAATCTTAAAACTCTCTATTAATTTTTAATTTAACAGAGGAAGAATTATAAGTATCTGAAAAATAGGATAAATAATATCAAAGGCCCGTAAAAGATGCATGTGGTTTAGTAGTCCTATCAATTCTTTTTTTACAGGATTCCATTTTGGACATCAAAGTACCTATATTCAAAGGACCTGGAGAATTGCCTGAAATCAGATCTTACATGGAAGAATTCCCATTCCCATTCTACATGATCCTTAGAGATGTGAACGCGCTTCCAGAAACTCTCAGTGATGCACTCAGACAGTGGTTTGAACTGGTGACTGCCTCAGACACTTTGTAGACCAAGTCAGTACCTGATTGCTGCTAAACCACTGAAATACATGAAACGGCATTTCATCGGAGAGTTCATAAGGCCTCTTTCTAACTAGGATTAACGTGCAGGAGCTGCCCTTTGGCAGTCAGGCTGCCTAAGAACAAAATGGTTTAGGTGCATTCTCCCACGTTTGTCAGAGGAGAATTATGCAATGGTGAGACTGTCGTCTTCTTTCATTGCCTATTCCCACAAATAACATAAAACTTTCTTAACCTTCTCGTTATAACTTATTACTTTTAAAAAAAAAAAAAAGTATTTGTCATGTTCACAGAGGTAAAATTAGGTCTACCACTGTCTATTGCAATAAGGAAAATCGGTCTTGCTTCTGGGAAGGCATTTCTGCGTTAGAAGAACTTCAGGTGTCTTGCAAAAAAGCATTCTTTAGCTTCACCCATGTGGCTGGTGCCTCTTTGGGAAGGAGTGGGGGGAGCAGGGGAAGCAGATGGTTTTAAACAACCAAAAAAATAAGGACTTGAATACTTGAAACTATTCTGCAGTTAAACACATGCTATTTAATTATTGCTGATTTTTGTCTGACAATATCAACAGGGAGTTTTATGAATAATGCCATATGATCATCCCTGTATTATCAGTTTACACTGTGAAGTTTGCCCCTCTGGCCAAGGCAGACACTGAGGACCTTTCACTAATCCAGTGTCTTAGAGCATGGACATGTTTTTTCATTGCAAAAGCTATGCATCTTATATTGTCTGTACTAATAAAGAGAGGTACCACTGTTTGTAATTATGATGTCTGTTCTTTCAGTTGATCAAAGCTTGAATAAATTAGCCAAATTTGCCACGTGGAAATGCTGTGCATTCTCTAGCAGTGCACAAATACGAATTTTCATATGAAAATGTAGTTCTCCTTTATGAGGATATGCCAGCACAGAGTTTTGATTAGGGGTCCAGTCTTTTGACTTCTCTCCATTAAAATCTGAAGGAAACTTTGTTTAAATGCCCCTGGTCGAAACTGTCTTTGAAGATTTTCTTTGCATACAAAAATTGAAGGTGTCTCGTCCCAAGTGTGCTGCAGGAGTTGATCAGAAAGTGGCTGGAAATGTGGGTGTGTTCCCAAAGATGCGATCATTCTCTTTGGCTCCTAGACAGAAAAACCTTACTTGAAGTATTGCTGTAGCTGTTCTGAGATGCAGCAGTGGCAAGACCAGGAGGTGTGAAACGGCCCAGCAAGGCTGTTTCTCGTATTTGTGTGGCTTTGCCACAGCTAATTCATGATAAGCAAATTTCAGAACTGAAAACTCAACAGGGCAAGTCTATCCCACCAAAATTCAAATGTCAGGTACTATATAATATCCTTCCAGGGTTCTTTAGATGTCTCATACATGTATACAAATACTTACATGCTTTGGGAAATTTAACTGTGTAAGTAGGTGGGTTTAGTTCATTAGGTAATTCTCCAGAATGTACTTCCATTTCAGACTTGTACTGAATATATGTAGTAGGCAACTTGGGAGGAAAATATTTTAGAAACTAAAACTTCTCTTACGATTGCAAGGATACACTTCCAACGCAAATTACGGTTTGTTGCAGGGATGTCGTTACAGCCTGAGAGACAATGTTATCAGCAGTGCTTACTGCACAAATGTTTAAACAAACCAAGTTTTTTTCTCTATCTGTAATTAACAAAGAGCTTGCACTATATTTGGTACACACAAACACTGAGTAAGCAACACAGAAAGGAGAGGCATCAGTTAACTGTTGTTTTTTCTCTGCAGGCCAGCTCCACCCCTGTATTCACTGACACATCAGGGCTAAAGAAACTAGCAGTGCCTTGCACCCTTAGCAGGAATTACGCCTGGGCCCAGCCTCAAGTACTTAAAGAGATGCAAAAGGTAGCTTAGTGTCCTGGAATTGCTCAGCTGACCTCTAGATCTTACTGCACTGCTCTCATTTGATCCCAAATGTGTATTCTTATAGCTACATCAGTCTGCAAAGCACAGGCCTTCCACCAACCCTTCCGTGAAGTGCTAGGGTACCGTTTATTACTTGGGAGCTTGTTTCGTTGCTGGAGCTTGGTTGCAGTTTTGGAAGAAAGAAAACGAAAGCGGAACCTTTAAAAAACAGCCCCACGGCCTCTGGTTACTCTGGTTTAATTTCTGGTGCCTCTGATTATCTCTGGCTTCCCGCAGCCCGGCAGGCACTCACTGGTTCTGCCAGGGGT